TTTTTAGAATTTTCAGCTTTTCTGCTCTGTTTTCTCCCCATCTTTGTGGTTTTATCTACCTTCGGTCTTTGATGATGGTGACGTACAGATGGGGTTTTGGCGTGGATATCCTTTCTGTTTGTTAGTTTTCCTTCTAACGGTCAGGACCTTCAGCTGCAGGTCTGTTGGACTTTGCTGGAGGTCCACTCCAGACCCTGTTTGGCTGGGTATCAGCAGCGGAGGCAGCAGAATAGCGAATATTGCTGAACAGAAAATGTTGCTGCCTGATAGTTACTCTGGAAGTTTCGTCTCAGAGGGGTACCCAGCCACGTGAAGTGTTAATCTGCCCCTACTGAGGGGTGCCTCTCAGTTAGGCTACTTGGGGGTCAGGAACCCACTTGAGGAGGCAGCCTGTCCGTTCTCAGATCTCAAGCTCTGTGCTGGGAGAACTACTACTCTCTTCAAAGCTGTCAGATAGGGACATTTAAATCTACAGAGGTTTCTGCTGTCTTTTGTTCAGCTATGCTCTGCCCCCAGAGGTGGAGTCTACAGAGGCAGGCAGGCCTCCTTGAGCTGCGGTGGGCTTCACCCAGTTCGAGCTTCCTGGCCACTTTGTTTACCTACTCAAGCCTCAGCAATGGTGGGTGCCCCACCCCCAGCCTCGCTGCCACCTTGCAGTTCGATCTCAGACTGCTGTGCAAGCAATGAGCGAGGCTCCGTGGGCATGGAACCCTCTGAGCCAGGCGCGGGATATAATCTCCTGGTGTACCTTTTGCTAAGACCATTGGAAAAGAGCAGTATTAGGGTGGGAGTGACCTGATTTTCCAGGTGCTGTCTGTCACTGCTTTGCTTGGCTAGGAAAGGGAATTCCCTGACCCCTTGTGCTTCCCAGGTGAGGCAATGCCTCACCCTGCTTCGGCTCATGCTTGGTGTGCTGCACCCACTGTCCTGCACCCACTGTTGGACAAGCCCCAGTGAGATGAACTGGTACCTCATTTGGAAATGCAGAAATCACCCATCTTCTGCATTGCTCATGCTGAGAGCTGTGGACTGGAGCTATTCCTATTCAGCCATCTTGGAACCGCCTGTGGACCTTTTTTGTTTTTTTTTGTTTTTTTTTTTTTTTGAGACAGGATCACTCCTTGTCCTGTCACCCAGGCTGGAATGCAGTGACCTGATCATGGCACACTGCAGCCTTAACCTTCCAGTCTCAGCCAATCCTCCCTCCTCAGTCTTCTGAGTAGCTGGGACCACAGGCACACACCACCATGCCCAGCTAATTTTTTAAAACATTTTTTTGTAAAGACCAGATTTCCCTATATTTCCCAGGCAGGTCGCGAACTCCTGAGCTCAATCCATTCTCCCACCTCAGTCTCCCAGAGTGCAGGGATTACTGGTGTGAGCCACCATGCTTGGCCAAGCAGCATAGATTTTTAATCTCTCCCCAATACATCCACCAAAAATAAAAACACATGTATATACATAATAACAATATATATATGTATTGTTATTGTGCATATATATGTGTTTTATATACATACACACACACACACCCCCCAGACATTATGACTAGGCTTGCATAACTTAAAACACAGAAAACATCCATGACTGACAAAATCAGGCAAACTTAATTGCCTACAAATCAAAATTAAGATCTGCTGGGGCTGAACATTTTCCAGTTCTAAATTCTTGTAGTATAAACATCTGTGTTGAAGAAAGCAGAGGAAAACAATTGGGCCTATGATGGACCTGAGACAAGAAGAATCCTAAATCTCCAAGAGGCAGCCACTAGAATTCTCACAGTGGGACAATTTTGAGAAAAGTAGCAGAAATTGAAAGGGTCTTAGGCACAGTCTAGTTCTTAGGGAAATCTTGCCCGAGTCTATGGACTCTTGAAACAAACTAGCCAAGGGCCCCTTCTGGAACAAAAGCCCGCAGAAACAGGACAGGGATAATAGGGACACAGAAAAAAAAAAAAAAAAAAAAAAAGCCTCAAATAATAGCTGACGGGAGAAAAAGAGCCAGAAGGTTTCTGAGAGTACAGCACCTTATAGTTGAACGAACAATAAACTCTGAAGTTGTGAATCAATAAAAGCTATCCTGGCCAACCCTATCCTTATAGTTACAGAAAATTAACTTTACATAAAAATAAACAACAGAAATTCATTGTAATTGAATTGTGTACAAAGTTATTCTAGGAAAGGAAGGGAAAATAAGGAGTAGAATAATATTCCTAATAAAACTACAGCATGTCAAAAAGAAACATGCCAACAAAAAAAGATAAAAATGACATCTAATATTTTAAGATGAGCTAAAATGATAGAAAAAATAGAATTATGAAAAATAACAGAAACCATCATTCTTAGCAAACTATCACAAGAACACAAAACCAAACACCGCATGTTCTCACTCATAGGTGGGAACTGAACAATGAGATCACTTGGACTCGGGAAGGGGAACATTACACACTGGGGCCTATCATGGGGAGGGGGGAGGGGGGAGGGATTGCATTGGGAGTTATACCTGATGTAAATGATGAGTTGATGGGTGCTGACGAGTTGATGGTTGCAGCACACCAACATGGCACAAGTATACATATGTAACAAACCTGCACGTTATGCACATGTACCCTAGAACTCAAAGTATAATAATAAAAAATAAAATAAAATAAAATAAAATAAAATAAAATAAAAAAAAATAAATAAATAACCAGTCAGTGTTGGCGAGGATGTGGAGAAATTAGAACCCCTGTGTACTGTCGGTATGAATGTAAAATGGTACAGATGTTGTGAAAAACAGTACGGCTATTCCTCAAAAAGCTAGAAATAGAATTACTATGTGATCCAGCAATTCTACTTCTGGGTATATACCCCAAAGAATTGAAAGCAGGGTCTTGAAGACGTATTTGTACACCCATGTTCATAGCAGCATTATTCACAGTAACTAAAATATATAAGCAACTTAAGTGTCCATCAGCAGATGAATGGATAAGCAAAATGTGGTATATCCATGCAATGGAATATTATTCAGCCTTAAAAGGAAATGAATTTCTGCAATATGGCACAACAGGGATGAACTTTGAAGGCATTATTCTTAATGAAACAAGTCAGTCACAATAAGACAAAAACGATATGATTCCACTTCTATGCAATAACTTAGAGCAATCAAAATTATAGAGGCAGACAGTAGAGTAGTGATTGTCAGAAGCTTGGGGAGGTAGCCAGGGGGAGTTATTGTTCATTGGGTGCAGTGTTTCAGTTGTACGAGACAAAAAGAGTTACAGAGAAAGACAATTGTAATGGTTGCACTTTATGAATGTATTTAATACCACTGAACTGTACATTAAAAAATGGTTAAGATGATATATGTTATGTTATTTGTATATTACCACAATAAAAGGAAAAAACCAAACAAAAAAAAAAAGAAAGAAAAATAACATAAATAAGAATTAGAAACACTTAGAGATGTGATGATAGAACTAAGGAAGGAATTAGAAATAAAATAACAAATAGATTTGGAAACAAGGACTAAAACTTCTAGTGTAGTCTTTTTTACACCACAGAGAGAATACATGCAATAGATAATGCCTTAAGAATTACAAATGAAAAGAGAAAAATTTTTAAATAAAGAGGAAATTATAAAAAGAAATAGAGAATTTTAAAATACTTGAAAGTGACACATAAATAGAAGATATTTATGGAAGAAAAACAAAACAGAAGAAAATAATTAAAATTCATATTTCAAAAATTTTTTTTGAAATATTTTTAAAAAGAGAGAGTATAAAATAGTATAAAAGCATATTATAAACTCAGAAAAATCAACCTACAATCGCTATTGCTGAGAAATAGTATGATCAAATTATCATACTTTATGGAAAGACAAAAAGTCTGCAGTAATGTAGCCAAAAGACAAAATCACTTATAAAGGAAGTAAAATCAGATTGTCATTAGATTTTTGACAGCAAACTTTATCCCAGAAGAAAATAGAGTATGGTAAATATTTTTTTAATTAATATATAGATGAATAAATGAATGAGCAACATAAATAATTCTAGTTTTTCACTTTTTATTCACACTGGATCTCTTTCTTTATCTCTAATGATGTATATTTCACAGTCTTTGGGGTACCTGGATGAATTATAAAATATTCATAAGTATGTATTTTATAATATCTTCTTTATTGTGTTAATGGCATTAGACTATTTGCCAAACCTAAAATTTAGATTAATTTTATCTGTTTCTTTTTTGAGTTCTACCAATTTTTGCTTCAAAAAATTTGGATCTCTGATATTAGGTTCATAGGTTTTTCATTATTTTACTCTATTTGTATCTTTATAAAGGAAATTTTTTATAGATAGCTTATTGTTGGGTTGCTTTTTTATACAATCTCTGCCTTTTGGTTGGAGGTGGTTAGGCCATTTACATTTAATGTAATCATCAACATAACTGAGTTTAAATGAACAATTTTGCTATTAGTTTTCTACTTGTTTCTTTGTTTTTGTTCGCTTCTTTTTCCTGATTTCTTCTGGATTATTATTTTTTAAGGGTCCATCATACCTTCTTAGTGGGTTTATTTCCTATAACTTTTTATTTTGTTTTTTAAGTAGTTACTTTAGGACTTATAATATATATATCATTAGCAGTTACTCTAGAATTTATAGTATATATCTTTATAGTATATAGTATATATTTATAGTATGTATCTTTAGATACATATCTATATCTTAGATTTATAGTATTTATCTTTAGCTTATCATAGTCTACCTCCTAGAAATATTACACCACTTCAGGCACAGTAAACTTTCTTTCACCACTGCCTCCAACGCTACCACCAATCAACCTTTGTGCTATTGCCGTTATGCATTTTATTTCACCAACACCTATGAATTTCATTATATACTATTATGAAACAATCTATTTTAAACAGCCAATTATTTTTTAAAGAGTCTCAAAATAAGAAAAAGTGTATTTCATTTTTACTTTCTTATTTACCATTTCTAGTATTCATTTTTTTTTGCCCCCCAGGGGAAAGTGCAAACAAAATCCCCTATTACCGCAAATTATGCAGTTGAGTTTCCCACATTTGGCAAAATCACAGGGGTCAGCACATCCAGAGTGCAATGGATAAGACTTGCCCTGGGAAAACTATCTTCGTGATCATGGTATCTCCCCTGCCAGGTAAATATAGTATTCTTCAATTCTTTGTTGATTGAATGTCATCTGGTATGGATTATTTCCGAATCTGCTGTCATTTTTTCTTTATTCTTGTATATATAATGTATTTTTCCCACCACTTTGGATGCTTTTAATGTTTTTTTCTTTATCCTTTTTGTTTTTGTTTTGGTTTTGGTTTTGGTTTGGGTTTTTTCTTCTTTTTGAGACAGGGTCCTGCTATGTTGCCCAGGCTAGAGTGAGTGGCTATGCACAGGGGCGATTCCATTACTGACAAGAACAGGAGGTTTGATCTTCTCCATTTTTGACCTGGGCTGATCCACTCCTCCTTAGGCAACCTGGTGGTCCCCTGCTCCTGGGAGGTCACCACACTGATAATGAAGTTAGTGTGAACACTTGATTGGCATAGTACACTACAGTCCAGAACTCCTGGGAACAAGCAATCTTCCCACCTCAAACTCCTGAGTACCTGGGACTACAGGTACAAGCCCTCATGCCTGGCTTGGTTCTTAATAACTTGATTATGATGCATCTTCATATATTTCTGTTTCTTGTGCTTGGAGTTCATGAGTCTCTGAATTTGTGGGTTATATTTCTCAACAAATTTGAAAAAATTTTGGCAATAATTTCTTCAAATATTTTTAAACTTTCTCCTTTTTATGCCTTGTATAGGGATTCTCATTACATGTTTATTAGGCCATTTAAATTGCTCACAGCACACTGATGTACTGCTCAATACTTATTCAGTTTTTTTCTATGGGCTTTATTTTGTATAGTTTCAATAAGTTCATGTATCATTTTTTCTGTAGTGTCTAATGTGCTATTAATCCCATCCAGTGTATTTTCACTCCAGACATTGTAGTTTTCATATCTAAAACTGTTTCCAAAGTAAAAAGTTTTTTTAAAAAGTTATTGTCAGAGAGGAGCTATGATAGTTTTTGATGTCAATTGATAAGCTTTTTTTCTTTTTTTTTTTTGTTGAGACAGGGTCTCACTCCTTCATTCAGGCTGGAGTGCAGTGGTACAAACATACCTCACTGCAGTCTCGACCTCCTGAGCTCAAGTGATCCTCCCACCTCAGCCTCCCAAGTAGCTGAAACTGTAGGCACATGCCACCATATTGATTAATTTTTTTTTGTAGCGATACAGTCTTACTTTGTTGCCCAGGCTGCAATAAATAATCTTTATCATTCATAAAGATACAGATCCCTGTTCTAGTTATATGTTTATGTATGTAGTTATCAGTGAATGCCATGATTAGTGAGACGGTATACCTGAAATCCACATTTCATAGCATAGCTACTAAAAATTGAAGTCAAGTGACAGATCAAGGTAATATTTGACAGTTAAAAGCCTTTATCAGAAAAAGTGCTCAATGATGTGGCAGTACAGTTTATAAATCTTGACACAGTTCAGATATGAAGACACTGTCCATCAAATTATAAGATCCTTATATCCTGCAACTACATTCAAAAAGTATTTCTAAACACAGAGGCCTCAGTAAATGCAGTTCACTTCTACTTACAGCATTGAAGCCTTCCTATTTTTCCTTGCTGCATCAACTGTCCAGCCTGAGATCTTAAAAATCTTTTTCATGATTTTTAATCGAGTCTGAAACAGACCCTACTTTATCACCTAATGATAAGAGAGAGAGAGGAAGGAAGGAGAGGGGGAGAAAAATAAGACAGAGGAGGGAAGAAATAGAGAGAGGGCAGACAGGCATTTGTTTTTTTATTTTTTTCAGGTTCAGTAGACATTACTTGATTATCTTAAATGCCACCTTCAGACCCTATAATAAAGCAAATGTGAGAGAGATCATGGTGGATGGGAGGCAGGAGTAGATTGCAGCTCCTGCTTGGATGGCCAGAACACTATGTGGAGGTTCACATTGTGAACTTTTGCTCCAGAACAACTGCAGAAATAAATCAGGAAAGCCAAGAGAACCCACAGACTCTCTGAAGGAAGCAGATTGCTCCTGCAGGACCCAGAAGACACCCTAAATACTGTGCTGGTATCCATAGTTGGGAGATGCATAGACAGTTCACATCAGAGAACTCTGTACAGACAAACCCCAGTGCCAGCCTGGAGTCTGCTGCACTGCTGGGTAGCTGGATCCAGAAGAGAGATAACAATCACTATAGCTCGGCTCTCAGGAAGCCACATCCCTAGGAAAAGGGGGAGAGTACTACATCAAGGGAACATCCCATGGGACAAAAGAATCTGAATAACAGCCTTGAGCCCTAGTCCTTCCCTCTGACACAGCCTACCCAAATGAGAATAAACCAGAAAACCAACTCTGGTAATATGACAAAAGGTTCTTTAACACTCCCAAAAAATCACAATAATTCATCAGTAATGGATCCAAACCAAGAAGAAACCCCTGCTATAATCTGAAAAAGAATTCAGGAGGTTAGTTATTAAGCTAATCAGGGAGGCACCAAAGGAAGGTGAAGCCCAATTTAAGGAAGTGAAAAAATGATACAAGAAACGAGGGGAGAAATTTTCAATTAAATAAATAGCATAAATAAAAAACAATCAAAACTTCAGAAAACATGGACACGCTTATAGAAATGCAAAATGCCCTGTAAAGTCTCAGCAATAGAATCAAACAAACAGTAGAAAGAACTTTGGAGCTCTAAGACAAAGTTTTCAAATTAACCCAATCCAACAATTACAAAGAAAAAAGAATAAGAAAATATGAGCAAACCCTCAAGAAGTCTGGGATTGTTACATGACCAAACCTAAGAATAATCAGTATCCCTGAGAAAGAAGAGCAAATCTGTAAGTTTGGAAAACGTATTTGGGGTAATAATCGAGGAAAGCTTCCCCCGCCTTGCTAGAGATGTAGACATTCAAATACAAGAAGCTCAAAGAACATCTGGGAAATTCAATGCAAAAAGAGCATCACTTAGGTACAACAACAACAAAAAAAACTATAGACCAATATCCTTTATGAACATAGATGCAAACATCCTTAACAAAATACTAGCTAACTGAATCCAACAACATATCATAAAGATAATCCACCAGGATCAAGTGGGTTTCATACCAGGGATGCAGGGATGGCTTAACATATGCAAGTCAATAAATGTGATACACCATGTAAACAGCATTAAAAACAAAAATCACATGATCATCTCAATAAATGCAGAAAAAGCATTTGACAAAATCCAGCATCGCTTTGTGATTAAAATTCTCATCAAAATCGGCATACAGGGGACATACCTCAATGTAATAAAAGCCATCTATGAAACACCCACATCCAACATAATACTGAATGAGGAAAAGTTGAAAGCATTCCCTCTGAGAACTGGGACAAGACAAGGATGTCCACTCTTACCAGTTCTCTTCAACATAGTACTGGAAGTTCTAGCCAGAGCAATTGGACAAGAGAAAGAAATAAAGGGCATCCGAATTGGTAAAAAGGAAGTCAAACTGTGACTGTTTGCTGATGATGTGACTGTTTACCTAGAAAACCCTAAATACTCCTTCAGAAAGCTCCTAGAACTGATAAAGAATTCAGCAAAGTTTTGGGATAGAAAATTAATGTACACAAATCAGTAACTCTTCTATATACCAACAGCAACCAAGCTGAGAATCAAATCAAAAACTCAACCCCTTTTACAGTAGCTGCAAAAATAAAATAAAATATTTAGGAATATACCTAACCAAGGAGGTGAAAGACCTGTACAACAAAAACTACAAAACTGTGCTGAAAGAAAGCACAGACAATACCAACAAATGAAAACACATCCCATGCTTATGGATTGGTAGAATCAATATTGTGAAAATGTCCACACAGCCAAAAGCAATCTACAAATTCAATGCAATTCCCACCAAAATACCACCATCATTCTTCACAGAATTAGAAGAAACAATCCTAAAATTTATATGGAACCAAAAAAGAGCACACATAGCAAAAACAAAACTAAGCAAAAAGAACAAATCTGGAAGTGTCACATTACCTGATTTCAAACTATACTATAAGGCCATAGTCACCAAAACAGCATGGTACTGGTATAAAAATAGGCACACAGACCAATGGAACAGATTAGAAAACCCAGAAATAAAGCCAAATACTTAAAGCCAACTGATCTCCACAAAGCAAATACAAGCATAAAGTGGGGAAAGAACACCATATTCAATATATGGTGCTAGGATAATTGGCAAGTCACATGTAGGAGAATGAAACTGGATCCTCATCTCTCACCTTATACAAAAATCAACTAAAGATGGATCAAAGACTTAAATCTAAGACCTGAAGCTATAAAATTTTTAGAAAATAACATTGGCAAAACCCTTCTAGACATTGGCTTAGGCAAAGATTTCATGACCAAGAACCCAAAAGCAAATGCAATAAAAACAAGATAAGTAGTTGGAATTTCATTAAACTAAAGAGCTTTTGCACAGCAAAAAGAACAGTCAGCAGAGTAAACAGACAACCCACAGAGTGGGAGAAAGTCTTCACAATCTATACATCTGACAGAGGACTAATATCCAGAATCTACAATGAACTCAAACAAATTAGCAAGAAAAGACAAACAATCCTATCAAAAAGTAGGCTAAGGACATGAATAGACAATTCTCAAAAGAAGATATACAAATGGCCAACAATCATGAAAAAATACTTGACAACACTAGTGATCAGGGAAATGCAAATCAAAACCACAATGTGATATCACCTTACTCCTGCAAGAATGGCCATAATCAAAAAATCAAAAAATAATAGATGTTGGCATGGATGCGATGAACAGGGAACACTTCTACACTGCTGGTGGGAATGTAAACTAGTACAGCCACTATGGAAAACAGTGTGGAGATTCCTTAAAGAAATAAGAGTAAAACTAGCATTTGATCCAGCAATCCCACTACTAGGTATCTACTCAGAGGAAAAGAAGTCATTATATGAAAGAGATGCTTCACACACATGTTTATAGCAGCACAATTTGCAAGTGCAAAAACGTGGAACCAACCCAAATGCCCATCAAATCAATGAGCGGATAAAGAAACTGTG